GCATTCCTGTGTGTGGAATAGTATAAACAAAAATTATGGTTAGGTTATTATCTTGACAAGCTTATATAAGTGATGATAATTAGTTGTGTCTTCATATTTACATGTAGTTGCTTTGAAAAATTCTATGATAATTCTCTAATGTTCTTTTAGACCTATGTAATATATTGTTTAAGATTAGATCATTTTCAGTTACTGGGATCAGAGGATATGCAGCCAAGAGTTCAAAGAAAATTTAAGGATTAAATAATTAAATTAACTGTTTATGTTCTTGGGTGCCTGAGGACTGAAATGGCAAAAGTGTCGTTCTGTTTATTTATTAAGTTGTCAGTGGAATTCAGGGACCTTTACAGGCCTGTACATCTGAAATCTCTTTAGGGAAAACTCAAATAAAGAATTGACTTAGTGAGCACCAGGTAAATATGACCTGCATGGAGTCCTGGATGTTGCTTCTATAAAGGGAAGTCCTGCCTTAAACCCCCTGGACTTCTTTGAAGGATTAGCAAATATGCAGGGAGAAGGTGATCTGATTGATAAAGTCTACTTGATTTTCCGGAAGAGTTTGACAAGGCTTGTAGGCTTTTAAGGAAGAGAGCAGTCATGGGATAAGAGGAAGGATATTTTCCCCGATAAATAATTAGATGGGAAATGGAGGGCAGAAATAAATAGCTGTTTCAGTAGAGCAAGGTTGGTGGTGGATTTCGGCTAGCAGCTGGCTTTCTGCTAGGAACTGTGCTGCTCAGTGTATTAATGTAGCATAGTGAACACGATAACATGGTTAAAAGGTGAGCTTTGAGGTGAGAGAGTTTATCAATGATAGTATTATTTGGAATAATGAAGATAAGAACAGACACTGAAGAACTGCAGAGTGATCTTATGAGTTCGACTGCTTGGGCAATAAAATGGCAGAAAAACTTCCCAGGGTGTAAATATGAAGTGATGCAACTGATCATCACAGAATCGCAGAATGGTTTGGGCTGGAAGGGAACTTAAAGATCATCTAGTTCCAACAGTATGATATCCAACCTTGATTTTAATTGAATATACAATATCCTGGTGACAGGAAGAATTGGTCTGAAGCTAAAATGTAATCTAAAAAAATCCAATTATCTCATATTGTCAAGTCAATATGAATAGCTTTTACAGTTTCTTTATAAAATATCAAATACTAGCCACTTCCCCATTTTAATCAATAAAAGGGTATGTAGTTTTATACTTCCTAATGCTAACAGGTCTAAACAAGTCAGACTGTTTTCTTGAAAAGAAATGCTTTATTGTCTAAAAACTTGCTTTTAAGGTATTTGAAAATAGAGTTGCTCCTATTTAAGAAAAAATCCCAATAGTGTAAAACTCATGCTGAAAGGTGGTATGGAATTGCTAAATGCAGATACACGGGTAAGTGATGATTAAGAATAAACTGCATTCCTATTTCTTTTCTGTAGAAGGTGCATAGTGGTTTGGGTGAACTAGTCCTTTCAATATTGACAGCTATGTATGATAGATCATGGTAAAGGATTATTATTTATGGGAATGCTGTGAATTTTTTATGACTACACTTGTAGTTTATTTCCATTTTAAAGACTGGAGACCATAACTCTCTACTTTTAATTTTGTATTCAGTATGGGGAGTTAATCCCAGAACGGGGCTTTTTTGATGCAAAATCTGAGTGCTTGTGTAGTAACAACAGCTGTCCCCTCACCATGTGGTGTCTTCCATTGCTTTACTGCAGAGATGAGTTTTGGCCCAGCGTTTCAGTTATATTGGACACACATGGTTTTAGGTGACAAAGCAGTATGTTTATGCATTCATTTGACTCTCGCAGTTACAGTTGGCTACAGATTAGAACAGGGAGAATACATTCACACCATGACCACCCTCATAGCTGCTTGTCGTAGTTGGATCACAGTAGGCGCTGTTGCATCTAAAGACACAATTAACTGTTGCTGAGGAATTGCAAATTCACAAAAGCTCTTTACAGCTGTAGCAGTTGAGGGTGGATTTTCTAAAAGCTTTTTCAGAGCTCTTCCAAATTTATATATGTTTTAGATCTTCACGTTCTAAAATTACTGTCAGCTTGAAATAAGATTAACAAGTGGATATTTTAATGTAGGTAATGAATTCTTATGCTGTGAATTAACTATATAATTAGCTACAGATCTACAGAATGATCGTAGTTTTCTCCATTAGTTAGGAAGGTAACCTTACGATTCCTGTAATATTTATAAATGGTTAGTAAAGTCTTGAACGCATAGGAAAACCAAAACTTACCGGAAACGTCTGAAAATAAAACTTGGCAAAGAGCTTCTGACGGACGTACGTCACTGAAAACATAATCTTGATTTCCATGTGTAATTGCTTAGATAGGCTTTGGGTATGGTAAGAGAGAATAGCTGTGAATTTACTTTAAAAAAAACTCCAGTCAAACAAACAAACAAACCCCTATGACAACAACAAAAAAATCCCGAATAGTTTTAGTACAAATTAAATAGAAAGTTACAGTACACTGCATGTTAAGGCTAATTTTGAGCTATGAAATGTGACTAATTTTGAACAGAAGACTTTTAACAGAAAACCTTAGAAGAATTCATTACTTAGAGTGGTGAAAATTTTTAGAAATAGAACATTAAGTGCCCCAAATCTTCCCATTCTAAAAATCTGAGAAATATTTTAGTATAAAATATCCATATGGAGTATATTATAATAAATAAATATATGGAGTGCGTTAACTTGTTTAATGCAATAAAAGTAACGAGGTTCTTGTGCAGTGTGGGAGTTTTCTGTGTATTTATTGACTGTTCTGTAGGCTGGAGTGTAATTGTATGCTAATGCACGTAACGTGTGCGAGACCTCTCGTGCTGTGTAAGAGTCTTGCGTTTGAATCCTCGCGGACAATTCATTCTCTGCTTTTAATAAAACCTATCCGAATATGACTGCGGCTTTCAGCATTGAATAAAGGACTACGTGGGTCCAAACTAGGACGATTGATGAAATCCTTGCTACCATTGGCTATTATTTACTGTCTTTTAAGTGGCAGGTTGTATTTATGCCAATTTATCTGCTTCAGGGAACACTCTTGATAGCAGAACAAAGTGAATAAAAGTAGTTTGCTTTGCAAATGAATGCAAATGGCGGAGCCTTTCGGGAAGCCCTTTAACAGGAGCAATGCACTTTGATTATGAGTGAAGCTGCCATTTGGACATGGTGAAAAGAGCACGCTTGAACCATTGATTGGGGGAGACAGTAAAAAGTCAGGAAGGGCCCCGTTAAGCTCGCAGTGCGGCAGGCGGATGTCAGTGTGGTTAGAGCACAGTGGGAGAATGACAGGCAGGATTAGTGTCAGGCAGAAGCTTTGCTGTAGTTGTGGAGATGGTCCCTGGGGTCACTCACCTCTGACTGTTGTTCTGTGCTGATGGCTCTGTAATGCAAACTGCTTGATATGTGCGTGTTCATTATCGGAAACGGTGATTAGAAGAGGTATGTCATGGAGAATTCCTTAAAAATAAAGAAAATGGCAAACTACTGATGGTAACAAAGATTCGGCTCTGCAGTCGTGTCAAAGACGCTGCAAATGTCAGGGGTGGTTACTGCGCCTTGGCTTCCGGGGCTAGCACAAATTCCTGCCTTAAACGGCTGTAATTGGGTGTTCCGTGCTTTGTTCGCTTTCGTTTGGCCGTTCTGAAGACAGTTATTTTTAACAGATTGTCTTACGCTCTCGGAGCAAAACATTTTTATAGCTTTTGGTTATTGGGTGGTAGAGGCATCCGGTTTGGTTTTGTGGCATAACTGTGTGGGGAGTGGGGGAGGGATGTTGTTTAATTGTCATAATGGAATCAACAGATTTCATTCCTGAAGCATCCCAGAATGCCAAAACATAGGAGGATTACAGTGACAAAAAGCTAAAATGACTGTTCTGTTTCAAATGTAAAAATAAGGGCATTTTCTCTGCTGAAAAATCTTAGGTGTGCAATTAAATGTCTAAAAGTTTGCATCTCAAACCATGATTTAATCTTTAATAAAAGTATTGTTGCCTTTCATCTTTCCTGCATTTTATAGTGTTAAGTACATCGTATAAATGTTGATAGAAATTAAATGTGTTAGTGTGTATGGTATACAAAACGTATTTTTTTACTGTTGAAGGACTTTTACTATCTTATTGTTGGTCTGTAGTTTTTATGTATTTTCAGCAACAGCACAGGGAGATGGCACCCAGATACTTAATTTTTTTTTTCTTTGCCCGATTTGATGAATTCGTTTGAAGGGGTTTTTTCAGTATATTACCTCACAAGAATGTGTCCAATATCCCAGTGTAATGAATGTTTTACAAATGTTTTACAGGCACCTGAATGGACGGAGGAGGACCTCGGCCAGCTGACAAGAAGTATGGTTAAGTTCCCAGGGGGCACCCCAGGTCGATGGGAAAAGATTGCTCACGAATTGGGTCGATCAGTGGCAGATGTGAGTTCACTCAGATTTGCATTGTATAGAGAGTGACAAACCAGAACAAGACAGGCAGTGTAGAAGGCAGGCGTATATGGGGCCGACATTGTCTTTGGAGAGAGGCTACAATCCTTTCAGGACCTGGAAGTGAACCATTAACTAACTATGCAAGAAGCAGATGTCAGCCCCTCTCTCCCTCCACAATTAACAGCTGTAGCTGATCAGCTGGGTGGGGGATTCTGGTGCTTACAGACTTGAGCTACTGTAACCCAATAACAGAAAAACAATGCGCCTTGGGTCTTGTAGCCCCTTCCTTTCACTGCCAGCGAATGTTTGTGTGACTTGGTTAAAGATTACGTTTCTGTTTCAAGCCAGTCCTTAAAAAATGTAGATGAGCTAATGGTGTTTAAACAGGTGGTTTCCATTAATTAAACTGAAATATCTCTACAGACTTTAAAACGAGTTATACATGTGATATTATTTCAGACCCTTTTTCTGGATTATAGCATGGTTAATAACGATATTGTGTAAAATGATTAATGTCCTTGTTAATTCATATTTTATAGGATTGTACCAGATATCAAAGCAAGCTTGTTCTTATGGATTTTAAGTGTTACGATCTTAAAACCCTTAGGGGCTAGGCTGTAAGAGACTTTTTCTTTTCAAGCAATAGATCACTAGAATATGATGTAGTGTCTGCTGAGGACCATTTGAAAGCCCTTTCAGCTGACCCTATTTTATAGGCTCTGGAGGGGTTAATGAGAATAATGTTTAAATCTGTTGACGTACATTTTGGGATTAGATGTTCTTTATTTATTATATTTCAGGAATTATCTTAAATAATGGGAAACAAAGCCTCTGGCTCAAGTGAAACATAACCCATTATAGCCTTCTGGGCATTTTGCATACTTCTAATGTATGGAGGAGGAGGGTTTCCCTGTTGATATAATCACAAAAATATATTTTTAGAAGTTATAAATAAGATTCAATACATCTATACAATTCTGTTACATATACTTTTATATATACATGTTCCATTTGCATTCTTATAATTTTAGAAAAAAACATTTTTGCAAGTAGGTGGATGTAAGCAAGAAGTTACTAACCTGCTAAGCAAATGAAATTGTCTTTTTTGTTTATTTTGTTTAGTGTTCTTTATCATACTCCTCAAGTATTCATACTACTGAAGTGGAGGGACTTTATTAAAAAAAAATGTTAACTTTACTAAGCAGATACTAACAGCAAAAAATATTTTACATGGCTTGGCAGTATGCAGTGTGCATGAGAGAGATCCTTTGAGGTTGCTTTGGAAGAACTGATTAATTTGCTTGATACTGATAATACAGCCATGTGGAATGATTCCACATACCCCTGTCACGAAACGAGCACTGCATTAAGACTGCCTTTTGCAACCATTTTCTGCTTTGTTCCTTGACACAGGTATAAAAACATTCCATATTAAGAATCCTTTGCAAAAGACATTTGGTCACCATACCTGCACACATCCAGTACTGGGAAAAAAACCAAAGCTCGTTTGCTTCTTCCATTAGGTGAGAAGTCTTGAACCACATACTCTTCAGTGAATTAGAAAGAAATGAAAGAAAGGTGTATGTTCTAAGAGCTCTCATTTTCGTGTATGAAAAAAGGAGTTTTCATGGATTTTTATGTGTGGAGAAAGCTCTGAGTGTAATCCTTTTTACTTCCAGTGACCTCCCACTATATGATTAACGTAAGTGTTCTCCACACAAGTTTTTACGTCTCTAAAAATTTCCCACTGCTGATAATACTAGGTCAGCTTTCCTGACACAGGCTGCTTACTAGAATTTCTGCTACTTGTAACATGGTGTCGCCGAGACTGACAGCGATTAGCTTTTAAGAGGAAACACTTAACCAAAAGCTTTCTGTAGACTTCTCGATCTCAAACTGTTACTGCATCAGTATCAGAAGTGTTGGAACTGGGAACTAATTCAGATATATCCAGTCAGCTGTTGAAGATGTACAGATTACCCATTATATTTGTTGAAGGTGACATAGAACAGCATCCGAATTTACAGCAAGGATTCTTATTTTGCTTGAGCATCAATATAGTTGAGTAAGAAGTTAAAGCTGCAGGAAAAGCTCGTGGTTTTGTTAAACTTTGTGGGTAGAAGAAGAGGCATTTGCAGGTGCAGGCAGTGTTTGCTGCCCAGTTCCCCATTTCCATTGGGAGAGGTGCAGCAGGTAAGTTGTGGTGTATGAGGTGCTGTTTTGAAATAGCTTATGTGGCGGAGTTTGGGAATCCCTTGCTTACAGCCAATTTGTTAGTCAAGCTAGAGAGAGTTTTTGAAATGTGTATTAACTGGCAAATGCACTAGATCTCAAAAAACACTCAAGGGCAAATTTAAAGTTGTTATTCCGACACTTCCTGTGACACAGGAAATACTTCTTAAAAACTTGAGACCACTTTCTGCTTGTTTCTCCTTCTATAAGGTATCAGGTGCAGCAAGGCTTGGTTTTCCTTTCATAGTCAGAGAACTGTAGTAGAGAGGATTGACAAGGTACAGTGTGCTTGTTTGCAGGGGATTTTAAGCAGTCAAACCCTTAATGGTAGATTAGCTAAGTAGGTGTTAATAAAACCAGTTTGAAGTAATCCAGTCCAAAATGATCTCTCTCCATTGTTGCTTCTGTCTCAAAGCTTTCTTCCTCTGCAGAAAAAGGCTAGAAAAATATTTCAATACTTCTTAAAGAATAAGCGGAAACCACTCCTATATACCAGAAGAGCATCAGTGAAACTCACTCCCTTCTAACCACCCCACAGGAATTCCATTTTACATTTCCTAAACTCCTTCCTTTTTTTTAAAAAAGCAAATTCCTACATCAAATTATATTGGTTTCCAGTGGCAATTTTTAAGCAGGATGAAGTGACTGGAGGAGAGTGCCCTTGGCTTTTGTGAACTTCTCAGCTTCATGGTGGTGTTTTAACTTAGTTTTGTGGGTGTATTTGTTTTGGAGTTCTTCATATGTGTTTTCCTCCTACCGTTATGTTAATGAGTTTTGGAACACTACGAAGCAAAGTTTGTAAAGCTTGGAGCTTTAATACCATTTTTTCACATACAAAGAAGGCCCAAAATGTTTGTGTCTGACTCATTTCCAGAGAGATGTGTTCAACTTGGGCAAACTCTTCCTTTATTTTATGAGAACGTGACTTCGATACTCCGGTACCTGGTGAGCACATGTAAATCTTAAGAGCTAAGAGGAACTGAAAGTATATTGGAAGATGGGTAGAAATCAGAAATGTCAGGACAATTTGGAAAAACAAGATGCAAAAAAATAGGGTGAAATTAAACAGACAGTATATGCAAAGCCACGCGGCAAGACGGTGATCAGGTCCACAGATAAAAGATGCCAAGCAACTGGCTAGGGGCAGCTCTTAAAAAGCAGGAGGAACTGGGGATTAGCAGACATAATGAGCTAGCAACAGAGATAATGAGCTAGTGAGTTGTTGTGAAAAAGGCAAGCATCTTACTGAGAATATGCAACCAGGAGGATGGTAGAAACCTGCATCTGCACCCCTAGTTTGTGTCTGGTCTTCAGTATTGCACTTAAACGCTGACTCAGCGGAGAGAGTCCAGATGAGAATAAGGAGTACTCTGAAGGTCTCTAAAGTATGACCTCCAAGGAAAGACAGTGAAGGAATTTGTGTTGTTGAACTAAGGACAGTATGAACTGAGGGTGTAAGTATTCAGCTGCATTGTGCGCTGCATTAGTTTTATAGGGCAAGAAGTAATTACCTCAGATTTTACCACAGGCTGCAGAATTAGATATTAAGGGGCAAAGAATAATAGTGGAGGTGATGAAGCAGTGGAATAAGCTGCTGTGGAGTCTCCGTATTTGCAGGTCTCTAAGAACAGGTTACATAAACATCTGCAAGAAGCAGCATCAGTGTAGTTTTTCTGCCTGAGCTGAGGTCCTTCTCTTCACATGGTCTGTGATTAGACTAGCAAGTGCAAGCTGTCCAGGAGGAAAGGGGGAGGAAACAAAACCTTCCCTACAATTGGAAGCATGTGTGAACTCGTTTTTCAGAAATGTAGAATTAAAGCCAGATCATCACCGTCGTTGGTTAGTAATCACTGCCTGTACCTAAGCTTGACTGATCTTAAGTTCAGTAATTCCTAGCAAAGCAGTTTTTCAGATTTTTTTTCTTTTCTACTACTTTTTAAATTGGAGTTTTGTAGACATTTACATTTGCTAATTGTTATTTCCCCAAGTACTACTCAAATAAGGATTACTGCAAGTTCCCATTATATGGGTACGTCTACCTGGTTCCCTGTCCAAACAGGTACATCCACACAATGTGATGCAGGCCACTGGGAATGTGCCAGCCAAAATCCCACTGTGAACAGCCCTGAGCTGTTTTATTTGTGCTGCCAAGTAAACGTGATACCAGCGTAAATATCTTTGCAACACATTCCCACGCTTTTCAGCTCAGGGCTGGGTTAAGCTTGTGACACACTGCTTATTACTTTAACTTTTGCCACGTTAAATATAGGATACGTTTATCTTGTCTCTCTTCGGGAAGACACATTTTAATAGCCAATGAATAATCAACCCAAAATAGGTAAGGTTAAGTTGTGCTCATTTTATCAATATGTGTAATTATTTAAATTGCTAATTGTCATTTTAATATGTGCATGTTGGGAATTTTAGCAGTCTTTTGCCATAAAGATGATTTTCACGTGGCTTAGTATAATGACACTGTGTTGCTTTCACAACTGAACAGCTTTTAAAGTCATTTTTATTGCAGTTGGCTGGTGCTATAAGTTAGATTTTCAAGTACCTTGATTATGAAAGGGAAATGGAGTTCAGTTAACTCTAATCAGGGTTCCTGCCTGCTGACCTGGTTACCTGTACCACCGCTCTCTGTTATCCTCCAAACATCTGTTCTTTGACCCATTTTCCTTGCAGAATTTGTTGCTCCAGGGTTAGTTCTCATTCCTGTCCTCCAGTACTTAAGGAAATAATTGACCTTTTAAAAGAAA